TCGTGTTTAGGAAGGATGTCGGGGGGCATATTAGATTATATGTCCCTAAAGAAATGGAAAATAATGTAATCACGGCCATTCACGAGAAAATAGGACATATGGCGGTGGCGAAAACTGTAGAGCAGTTAAAAAGAAATTATTGGTTTCCGAAGTTGAGGAAAAGGGTGAAGAATTTTATAAGCTGTCTTAAGTGCATAATGTATTCACCGGAGTCACGTAGCAATCGGTATAATATTTTTAATATCCTTAAGAAGCCGGAGCCCTTTGATACGATACATATAGATCACTTCGGCCCATTACCGTCGTTGCGATCCGTTAGAAAGCATGTTCTTGTGGTGGTGGATATTTTTACAAAACATGTAAAGCTGTATCCGGTGAAGACGACTAGTACCAAGGAGGTGTGTGCGGCTTTGCAAAAATATTTTGATTACTACAGTCGTCCGAGGAGGGTGGTGAGTGACAGAGGTTCATTTTTTACTGGGCAGACATTCTCCAAATTTGTAGAGGATAATAACATTGTTCATGTTAAGGTAGCGGTGGCATCTCCTCAAGCGAACGGAAGGTTGAGAGGGTCAACAGGGTCTTAAAGGCAATGTTGGCCAAGCTCACCGAACCAGTTAATCATTCCGATTGGGTAAGCAAGTTAACAGAAGTCGAGTTTGCTATTAATAACACGGTACATGACTCGACAAAGAAATCCCTTGGTGAGTTGTTGTTCGGAGCTCAACAGCGCGGTAGAATTGTAGATGAACTAACCGAGTCTTTAGCTGAAAAAGAAGTTACACAACCTTGCGATTTAGTTAAAACTCGGAGTGAGGCTTTAGAGTGCATTGAAGAGTCACAGGATTATAATCTTAAACACTTCTTTAAGCATAGTGCACCGGCTCGGGTTTATGAAGTGGGGGACTTTGTAGTCATGAAAAATGTGGACACTACCGCGGGAGTGAATAAGAAACTAATTGCGAAATATCGTATTATTACGTGATATATAAGAAACTGCCAAACGACCGATACGTTTTGCGTGACATCGAAAATTTTCAAATTACACAAATGCCGTATGACGTAGTAGAAGCAAATCGGTTACGAGTGTGGTTAACGCCAACATCTGAGTTAGACGCTGTAGACCCTAAAAATTGTAGCGACACTCAACCAAAATTTATTTCATAAGTTATATTGATTGATCGAGTCGATCAATATGTCAGGATGGTCGAGTTGTAAGGAATTGCAATGTGGCAACACTTCTATTAGTTTTTAAGCGAAATATGTACATATATGGTAACCCTATGAGAATGAAGATAAATAAAGAAAATAAAGGAAAATGGACACTTCCGTTCTGGTAAAGCAAAGGATAAGACGCACTTTTTAATTGTCGGATAAATCCAATAATTAACAGGCCATCAAGCGTTTATATACTAAAAATAAATTTTTTAAACTTTGAAATGATTTTCCTTCAATTACTCGTGAACCAGATTACACTAAACCAGTGCAACACCAAACGGTTCACAGAATTGAAATAAAAGGAGTGCTACCTTTCTGTAAACCACGTCGTCTTGATCCAATTAAATTCAAAATAGCAAAAACAGAATTTGAATTTTTAGTTAAAACAGGTATATATGTAAACCTTCACACTCTCACATTGCATCTCCTTTACATTTGGTTCCTAAAAAAGAACCAAATGATTGGAGACCTTGTGGAGATTACAGAAGACTTAATTGCATTACTATTCCAGATCGTTATCCGTTACCTCACATTCATGGCTTGACTATTGATTTAAAAAATAAAATTTTTTTTTCCGAAATTGATCTTCTTCGTGCGTATCATCAAATACCGATGGTTGAAGAAGATATACATAAAACAGCAATTACTACACAATTTTGGATGCCTTTTGGTCTACGAAACAGTGCACAAACATTTCAACGATTTATTAACGAAAAATTGTCTGGTTTGGAATTTGTATTTGTCTATATTGACGATATTCATATTAATGAAGATCAACATATTGAGCATTTAAAATCTGTATTTGAAAGACTTGAAAAATATAGTTTGAATATTAAACCTAGTAAATGCATTTTTGGAGCAAATAAATTAGATTTTTTAAGTTATGAAATTTCAAGTTAAGGAATCAGACCTTCTGTCGAACGAGTTGAAGCTATAGTAAATTTTGAAAAACCACTTTCAATAAATAAATTACAAAAATGTTTGGGCATGGTTAATTATTACCATAGATATGTTAAAATGTTAGCAGCAGAACTTAGTCCTCTGCACGAAATGTTAACATTAGCAACTAAAAATAAACTTAAACAATTAAATTGGACAGAAAACACAACTAGGGCTTTTGAAAATGTGAAGAAACTTTTTACACAGAAGACTTTACTCACTCATTTTGATAAAAATTCTAAATTATCACTTGCTGTCGATGCATCGAATGTAGCAGACGGTGCGGTTTTACAACATTTTAGAACCACTTGCATACTTTTCACGAAAATTATCTCCTACAGAAATTAATTACTCTACGTTTGATAGAGAACTTTTAGCAATATACAATTCAATTAAACATTAAAGGTAGAACATTCACTGTTTATACTGATCATAAACCTTTAACACATATTCTAAACTCTAAATCGGACAGATCACCTCGACAAATTCGACACTAAGAGTATATTGCACAATTTAAAGACGACATTCAATACATTTCTGGAAAAGAAAACATAGTTGCTGATACCCTTTCACGTATTCCAGATGTTAACATGATTTTAGCCCAAAACATAAATTTTCAAACATTATTCGAGGAACAACAAAAAGATCAAACCCTTTATGACATAATATCTGACCAAAATTCCAACAGTAATTTAAAAGAAATTAATATTCCAGTACTTAATCTTAATATTTGGTGTGATATTTCTCAACAACCTTTTAGACCATTTGTTCCCAATTCTACGAGAAAAATCATTTTTGATAAAATTCATTCTTTATCACATCCAAGTGTCCGTACAACTAGGCGTTTAATTCAATCAAAATATTTTTGGCCTAATATGCGCAAAGAGATAAATAATTGGACTTCTACTTGTATAAGTTGTCAAAAATCTAAAATTTTTAAACATACTAAGACGCCTGTGCAAAAAATTGGCATTCCATCTGGACGATTTGAACATATTCATATGGATCTTGTTGGTCCATTACCTGTGCCAAAGAAAATCGTTACATTTTAACTATCATTGATAAACACACACGTTGGCCAGAGGCATATCCTCTTAAGGATATTTCAGCTAATTCTATAGCAACAACATTTGTTCAAAATTACGTTCCTCGTTTTGGCATTCCACTTTATATAACAGTAGATCAAGGATCACAGTTTACATCAAAATTGTTCACAGAATTAACTAAATTGTTAGGATAACACAAAATTCATACGTCTACATATCATCCTCAATCAAATGGAATGATTGAAAGATTTCATAGGACATTAAAGACTGCTATTACTGCTTCAGATGATTCTACCCACTGGTCTGAAATTCTTCCCTGGATATTATTAGGACTACGTACGTCGATTAAAGAAGATTTAAAATGCTCTTCTGTAGAATTAGTTTATGGACAAACATTAAGATTACCAGGTGAATTAGTTGTTACGAGCAGTTATAATAATGAAGTTGATAATACAGATGAAACTCTTTCTAAGCCAAGAAAGTGTTTTTCAAATGTTAGATCAAAGGTTTTACATCACAATAAAGAATACTCTTTTGTTCCAAAAAATTTGGATACTTGTGAGTACGTCGTTTTTGTTAAAGTTATTCACAAGTCAAATTTGCAATCACCTTATGAAGGACCATTTAAAATTATTTCGAAAAATGACAAAGTATTCAAAATTCAACATGGAAATATGATTAAAACGGTTTCAATATATTTACTCAAACCTACAATTCCAAATACAAAAAAAGAAAATAACATTTAACATTAATTAATTTATTGTTTTACTGTGTTTTTATACTTGTTTAAATTCTTGATTTTCAGTTTATGGTTCTATGAATTTGTTTGTTGTTAAAAAGAAAATTTTTGATCAATAAATAAACCTTCTGTAGTAAAACTTAAAAGATAATTCTTCTAAAAATTAAATCATCTAATAGTATACACGAAAATGATCGGTTAAATGGTTTTCTTCTGCTGGAACAACTTTCTATTTTTTTGGCACTGATGTAAAGTTAAAATAACAATTTGAGTGGTCTTTAATTTCTATTTACTTCTTGAGGCAAGACAACGTCATTCAAATCTTAATTATTCTTCTTGCGAATTGAAAGAATATATGCACTTTTATTCAAAGTATTGATGACAAATATTTGCAATTTCCCTGTTGTTTTTTGACAAAAAACGCAGTACTGCTTCACATCAGACATCTTTAGACATATTTGGCATGCACTTGTTTTACAAGATATTTCACGGAGACTGCATAATTGTGCATACTTACAAATAAAAAATTGTCTTCTTCTGCCTGGTTAATATTCTGTCAAAATGTACAAATACCAACATTTTGACAGTGTGTTCTTGAACCGCGATATAAAGGAAGCAGAGATGTTGAATGTGACTTTAGTTGTTAAAATAAACGTAAAAATTTACAAAATATAGATTTATTTTAATCAATTCCGATTGTTTAACTATCATTTCAATATTTTTAAGCGTTTTGGCTAATAACTCATATTTACTACAGCGTAGTAGCCGTGGTGCTCGCGCGTTGCTTGCCATGCGCAACTTCATAGGCTTGGCAGACGATGTTCGCCATATGTTATTAGCGGCAGACTATGATTTTTTTCTTTGCTAATATAAAAAGAAGCATTTTAATGAATTTCATCTTTGCGGAATATGGCCTTATTTCGCATTGCTTCTAATGCCGAACGCGGCCATGGACGTACAGTTGAATCTTGGTTATCCGGGTTGGTTGGGACTGGGCTCATCAGGGATAATCGGAAGTTCTGGTTAAAAGAGTTGGAACCCCGGTATGTACATTTTAATTTTTTTTTTTTTTTTGTAAGAACAAAATTTGTTTTAATGGGCAGATAAATTTGAAAAGCGACTTGAGAAAGCTGTCCCCATAATTCTAAATCATACGAGAATAACTGCATGTTTTTATATTTTTTATTCTATTCTGCTATTGTATTAAATAGATTATATATACTTCCATATTTCATTACAAATTTAATAGTTGCTCATTAATTTTGAAGTATTGGTTGGTTTAATGACAGTTTTTTCGACTCCTCATTCCGACCTTATAGTTTTTCACATATTATGCTCTGTTATGATACCTAATTCTATTGATTGCTAGATTTTATTTGGCCATTAACAATAGGTAAAAAGTATGGATGTCCCATTGCTTCACGTGCGGTCAAACGTTCCACGTGATCATAACGCAAAAGCTTGTCAAGAAAATCAAGGGCCTCCGGTGAAACGAGATGTTGATTATCCGAGTGAACAAACCTCTCCCATCGCTTACGCGAATGTCGTTGTAGTATATCGTGGAATCGAGGATCTAATTCGATGTTATATTTATCCAAATAAGCGTAAAGTTCTTCAGTGCCTAGGACTTTGGCAATACGCACTAGTTGGTCGTAATTATCATGCCCATGAAAAAATGGTTCTTTACGAAAAATCATAGATGCTAACATACAGCCTAAAGACCACATATCCAATGAGTAATCGTACATTTGGTAGTCTACGAGCAGTTCTGGCCCTTTAAAATATCGAGACGCTACGCGTACATTATACTCCTGACCTGGGTGATAAAATTCTGCCAATCCCCAATCAATTAATCGTAGTTTTCGATTTTCATGGTCAATCATAACGTTATGAGGTTTTACATCACGATGCATGATACCCATACTATGGCAATAGTCCAATGCCTTCAACAATTCAAACAAATAGTAGCGAATTTCATAATCCGTCAAAGTTTGATATAATTGCTTGAAATCGGTATTATTCACATGTTCAAAAATCAAAGCTGGTGTGCGCGAAACTGGATCTTTTACCACAGCCAATAATGTAATAATGTTAGTACCACCACGCAAATTTTCCAAAATTTTTATTTCACGCTTAATTTTCTTCTTCTTGACTGGTTTGAGAATTTTAACCACACACTTTTCCGTAGTTGTAATATTTATAGCTTCAAATACTTCCGAATATTTTCCGCGACCCAACTTACGAACGAGTTGATAATCATCCTGGTTGGCCCAATCGACCACATAATTCTCATAATCCCAGTACTCGTCTGGCTTGTGTGCGTTAACATCTGTATAAACTCGGGCAGCGCTTGGTAGAGTCATTTTTGATTTACAGATACCTTCTTTTTCAAACGCTTGCGAATTTGTAACAATCGAAAAACGTTGATGTTTAATATATTCTTTCGATTTAATAAAAGTACTTTCAGGAGAAAGAGAAGATACGCTTTTCCAAAAACAAAGAGACGCTTGATATAAGCCGCTGAAATAAAGAAAAAGGAACAGATTTATTATACATTTTTTTCAGGAAAAAATTGATTCATGATTGATTTTAATAGCAATATTCTAAATATTACAGAAATTGAATTCAGCATTATGTTTTATCTTTAGCTCGCACGATTTGAAGTTTTGACTTTATTATCAGTGCTGGCAATTCTAAGCAAAAGCTTGAACCGGCTTATTTACCATATTATTTAAATAATTAAAATTAGAGTTATAGGGAGTGGGCATAATTCTTTCTCGATTTCAAAAAAGTTCAACCCGTAGCTTCGCTAGGCTCAGCGAAATCTTCGTACCGAGTTTAGTGGAAATTGACCGTTACCAGGATATACATATGTAACTAGTTTATCGTAAGTGGGTGGTGCTATGCCCATTGTCTTTGTCTAAGGCCAAAGAATCATTCAAATCAGTTCCCAAACAAAGTTATACGCGAACAAACATAAAATTAACAAATATACTTGTCGAACAGAGAACCTCCTTTTTTTGAAGTCGGTCAATAAAACACAAACGAACTAAGAACAAAAAACAAAATGTTTAAACTTTCCTATCAACTCAAGATATATCAAATCACAAACAGTTGTCCACAAAATAATAGGAGTGTGATATTTTGATTAGTTTGGCTATTTGTCTTTTGTTTATTTTATGTTTATTATTTCTTTATAAGAGTAGCTCAGTGATTCTCAAAGTGGTCCAAGTGGACCCCCAGGGGTCTACGTTGGCGAGGAAAAAATTTGGGGGTCCACGAGTTGTAAGTGGGGGTCCACGAAAATGTATCTGGTTACGATAGTAAACAACCAAAATGGTTTCTTGATAGCGCTTTGTGTCTTCATACGTGGGGAAGCCTTAAAGTCCAGCTGCAGACTAAAACGAAAAGGATGTTAGTATAACACTGAGTGAGGCGAGGCGAAAATTGCTGGCGACAGACATTTGAGCACTTGTGTATTTTCATTACTAAAGGATAGTACGCCACCATTACCTTTGGTGAAGAGGTTCTATAATGTTGCGCTCCCTGAGGCTGTATGCTAGTTTAATTTCAGTACTGAGCCCGGACCCGACACATTGTGAAATCTTCACGGATGGCTCTAAAACAGACTCTGTGTCAGGACCTGGAGTGTTTTTTGACGTTAATGGGGATAAGTTTCCGTCTTCCAGGCTGAGGTATTTGCATCCCTCAAAGACATGGACTACCTATGTGATGGAAAATAGGTGGAGGAGTTTACGTGTCTGCAGTGACAGCCAAGCTGCACTGAAGGCATTGGCCAGCCCTCTATCTAAGTACTTCCAAACTAGTTCGGCAATGCAAGTCTCGACTAAATTTTGTTGGTAAACATAACGAGCTTGCTTTACTCCGGGTGCCAGGACACTTGCGAGTACCTGGTAATGAGACATCTGATCATTTGGTCACAATTGGTTTAGACCAGGTATTCCTCGATCCGCAACCAGTTACAGCTGTCCCCACTTTGGCCATCGAGGTCACCATCGGAAACTGGGTGAATACTTCGCTCAGCAATGACTGGGAGGCATCGAGGGGATGCAGGTGGGCAAAACTCATGTTGCCTTCAATCTCAGGTCTATCTCGTTTTTTGCTCTCACTGAGTAGACGGGACCGCAGAAAACTTGTTAGACTGCTTACTGGTCACTTAACGTGGCACAAACACCTGATTGTGATAGGCGTAAATGACAACTCCATTTGCCCATCCTGCCCTGAAGACGATGACACGTTGGAACACTTTTTGTGCTTCTTGATTGCTTGGTCGTTTGTCATCGATTTTTCTAGGTTCGATCTTTTCTCTGTTGTCAGTTTCTAAATTTAAAGTTTTGCATAAAAAGCTTTGCGGTTTTGTTGTTTCAAGTTTTGCAAGGCGAATTAATATAAGGTGATAGCAGTAGAACAAAAACAAAAATTGACACGTGTTTTGTTTTTGCTTTGGCGGCATAAACTGTCAAAATCTGTAAGAGTGTGTGCGGAAATGCAAATAAAATTTATCAATTTGACTTTCGAAGCCGTATGGCGAAACACCTACACAAAATCAGCTGATCTAGTATCTAACACCACCTTATATAAATTCGCCTTGGTTTTGTGTTTTAAAAATCTGAGTGATAAATATTTTTCTCATAACCTTAAAGCAGGAATCACACGATTTGTACATTGGTACAGATTTGCACATTTTGGCAGCCCCAGAGTGGTGCCGTTTAGAAATTTGAGTTTAACTCAATAAACGAATTTCCAGACAACGCCAATCTGTAACTTCCAAAATTTACAAATCATGTGATCCCTGCCTAAGACTCGAAGCGATATAAATGGAAATTCATGAGTGAGCCGAACATGTGAGGAGTTTATGATGAAGATAATGTAAATAACGCCAGCGCTCGGAGTGCTCTTAAAAAATATAACTCCTCAGAACGAGAGAGTACTTTAATAACTTTACGAGCTCTGTTTCTATAACTTGAAAGTGTGTAATCGCATTATTTCAATAAATAGAACACAAGTATTTTATTTTTATTTTGCCACTCCGAATTTAGTTTTGGAACGCACCCGCAATGCAAATTAAAATCCTTGGATATAACCCTCACATATTTTGACAAGCTTTGGGTGTGCAGCAAGGGGTCCACCGAAACCAGTAAAGTTTTGAAAGGGGTCCACAAGAAAAAGAAGTTTGGGAACCTCTGGTCTAACTGGTTGTACAACAAACACCATTTAAATTCATATTTCCAACCTTGTACAAATATCATAAAAATTCTGCAAATTTCCACCAAAATTTCAAACTTTTTAATCAGAATCTTAAAAAAAAAATGGTATGCAGTTTTGTAGCCCATTTACTTCTAGTCTAATGAAGTGCAAGTTTCAAGCAGCCTTCTATGAAAAATATGTTAAACACCTTCAACCAACAAAATTCTCAAAAATTAAGGGGATTTTTTACCATATTGAAACTTGCACTTCATCAGACTAGAATAAAATGGGCTACAAAACTGCATACCATTTTTTTTAAGGTTCTGATTATAAAGTTTGAAATTTTGGTGAAAATTTGCAGAATTTTTATAATTTTTGTACAATGTTTGACATGTAAATGTATATGAGTTTGTTGAATATCCAGCTAGACTTATAAAAAAATAATGAACATAAAATAAACAAAAGACAAATAGCTAAAACTGATCAAAATATCGCACTCCTATTACTTTGTGGACAACTGTATGTAATTAAGCGCTTATATACACTGTGGTGTAGTGGTTAGCAGAAACGCTATCACTCCAACATCAATAAATCAAAAACAAAAAAGTTTTTTTTTTTGTAATAGCGGTCGTCCCTCGGCAGGCAATGACATACATACCTCTGAGTGCATTTCTGCCAAGACAAACAGCTTCTCATAAAAATACAATCGCCGTTCGGAGTCGGCGCAAAACTGACCCTGCCTTAATACCAAAGTTTCATTGTAAGTTTCTTTCTGTGCATTACATATTCAATTTCCAATACAAAAATGTAATGCAATAAATGAAAACTTTACACCCGGTTTCCGTAGTTTGGTATACTGCTGGTTGTTACTCGGTAATGTAATGAGGACGTGGACGTCCTTTTCAGGGGGGTTACTATGCTTTCGAATCACTACTTCAATTTTCGAGTAACTTTGGCAAACAAATTCGGATTATTTAGTGGCTCATATCCGAATATGGAAATCCGAAAATGGAATATTTCAATTCGATTTCGGAATAGATAGTATGGAAAATCCGTTTTCGGGCGAAAATTCTTTAGAATCGAATTGCATAGTAACCGCCCAGCTTACTTTTGCTAGTCTGATAAATTATATATTGTACGTGGAAAGTAAAATAGCAATGAATATTACAATTTGGACGAAAAACCATCGTTCGGTTTGCAAACCACGCCACACACGTTGAAATCTCAACCGATCGTTTCAATTTGTTGTCCGTTTGTAGCCTGCTTTAGAGATAGATATCGGGACTCACGGGACCCGCGGTACAATTCTGAAAAACGTCGGGAGGGCGGGTTCGGGACTTAAAAATCGAATTTCGGGATGGACGGGTTGGGATTAAATATTTAGTCCCGTGACCATCTGTAATACAGATGCGATCAACTAATTAGTAACGAAATTCAAAATGATATTGTTTGCAAATTATGTTTATTTTTATTTTTTAATAATTTTCATTTAAAATATAATTCATTTGTTTTTCATATAAAAAAATTGTATAGTGTGTTATAAATATGGAAAAAAATGCGCAACACCCTTCACAAAAAAATTCTGAAAACAAGCAACGGTAATTTTTAACGACTAGAAACTTGCACTTTCTTATACTATAATTGAATAAGCTACAAAACTGCATACCCGAAATTTTCTAAATATTCTAATTAAAAGTTTGAAATTTTAATGAGAGTTTTTTGAAGTTTGATTCTTTTTTTTCAATTTGTGCAAGTCTTTAAACTTTTATTATTGTGGTTTCTGTTGTAGATTGAATTGTATTTTAAATTAAAATTATTAAAAAAAAAATAATTAAAAAAAAATAATTAAACATAATTTGCAAACAATATCAATTTCGTTGCTTATTAGGTTCATCGCATCTGTATATTCATGTGTGTGCACCAATCTATTAATATCGTTGATTTGTTTGGAGTTCATGTAATAGAGTTGAATAGTATTCTCTCGGAAGGTTTTTATAATGGGACCCATGCTTCATCTTCTGAGGCTGCAAATCTTTTTGCTGATTTCTTCCGCTCGAATTTTGTGACACAGTCGTAAACCTCTAGGGGTTTTTTTTCCAATTGTGGATTCCCCAATTAATTTTGGCATGCTCTCATTATCTCCTGATGATATAGGCGATGGCATTTTGCAATTCAAATCATCTTTGCAGACAGACGTCGACGGCTTATCATCTTATCTTCTTAAGAATTTGTTGGCAAACCCACTTCTGGCAATATTCAATAAATCACTTGAGTGTGGAGAGTTTATCGATGGCTGGAAGGTAACCTTCATT